ATGACTTGCTCGGCATACAGGTTGAATAAGTATAGTGAAAGAATACACTCTTGTCACACACCTTTCTTAATTTTAAACCATTCAGTGGTCCCATGTTGTTATAGGAAGAAGGAGTGATGAACTACTTCCAAATATTTAGTCACTGAAAACCTTATGAATAGCAGAGACACTGTCAGAACTTAGAGGACAATAAAACATTTTTTAACAATTTTTTTTAATAAAGGAAACAAGGGTAAATTGCTACAATTTGATGAACTTGACCTATACTCATGGAGGTAGTAATTCTAAATACTAACAGAGAGGGAAGGAGTCTTCACAACAAGTACTGATGCTATCCCCAAAGGGTAGATAGGGATGGGTAATTTAGATATTGGCCACCTAAATTGAGGGAGCAATAAAAGCACGAAGTGACTGGCTTACAAGGTTCCAAGGGGGATTTTAGTTTAAGAGTGTGTGGAGGAAGAGAGTCCCCACTGAATAGTCCCCATCTTGTCTAGATGGGTCTGATTAAAAGAAATGGGGTAAGATTCTTGTGATTCAGTAGTGAGTAATAGTTATCATGACTAATTGTGACTATCACAATTGCAAATGTAGAAGTTTTGTAACAAAAATGGGGGAATAGTTAATCTTACACTCCATAAAGAAAGGACCCTAAGACCATCAAGGAAGGCAAGCACAAGTGGAACGCGGGACCTTATCCAGAGAAGCTGTGACGCCAGAGATGGAGACAGAGATGGGGACATGGAGAGAGGGGGAGGGGGCAGCTTAAGACTTCCTCTTTCCATGAAGATTCATGGAAAGAGAGGGACTGAGAGATGGCTGCCAGGAGGTCAACTTGTAGAATGTGCCCTTTGGTGGTGTAAATTATTTTATATGCCTGAATGAGTATTTAAAAAAAAAGAGAGAGAGCTAAAGTAAATAGAAAGAAATACTGTTAACTGATGGTACGTGGAGCGGGGGGGCAGGGGGGGGGACTGTAATCATTGTAATGAAACAAGGTGTATGATTTGTTGAATGTAAAACTGATGATCTGCCATGTAAACTTTCATTTGAGCCGCAATAAAAATAAAAACTTAGAAAAAAAAAAAATAGACTGGTCAATGAGATCTAAATGATTTTCAAACAGAAACTGCAGCTTAATAGAGGGCGCCTACAACATTCCATATGGGCTATCATATGGTAACTGAGGGACCTTATGAACTTGGAACATCCCTTGTACATACACTGGGGGAAAAGAAATGGAAACGTACGGCATGTATAAAGTGACATAACAAAAATGAAAGTCAGGCCCTAAACAGAATTGTACCCCATTAGATGCTGGATTCCTGGAGACGACCAGTTTTGGGTGTTTTTGTATCCAATTAGCCGCCTAAGTCAGCCAAAAACCTTAGCTTGCCTGAAATGGACTCCTGATGTGATACTGCAGGATCAGCATTGGACTGCAAATGACAAGATCAGTGGTTCAAGCCCACTAGCTGCTCCTCAGAAGTCCTATATAAGGTCACTGTGAGTCAGAACCGACTTGATGGCACTTAACAACAATCCTCTTGGTTTGAGTCATGATGTGGCACTGCAGGACAATGCACTGGTCCGAAAAGTCACTTTGAACAGCATGGTTGGCAGTTCAAATCCATCAGCTGCTTCTCAGAAACTCTATACAGGGTCACTATGAGTCAGAACCGACTGGATGGTACTTAACAACAACAATGCTCTTGGTTGAGTGTCATGAAACTCAATCCTCTTGGTTGAGTATTATGAAACTAAATAAGACATAAACACACATACAGAGAAAATGAAGAAATTAATCATACTATAATATTGATTTGTGTAAACTGTGTTTATACTAGTAACAAATTTTGTAACATTTTGTTTATAGAGTCCTGGTGTGGTACTGTAGGATAAGCACTGGAATGCAAACAAGATTGCCAGTTTAAACCCATTATCAGGGCTCCTTGGGAGCCCTGTACAGGGTCACTATGGGTCAGAACCAACTCGACGGCACTTAATAAAAATGCCTAATAAAATTTATTCTTCCAAATGTATGCCTAATAAGATCTTTTGGTTAAGTATGTAGATTTATTTAGTCAGAAAATAAATCTGTTGTTAAGTGTTTGCATTTTAATTGTTCATGTAATTGATATTAAATTTTTAGGAGGATTTAGTCACTTTAAATTAATGAAAAACATTAAACAAAGTGTTCTTATAAGGGCGATTCAGGATAAACGCAGGATTGCAAGGTCCGTTTGAACCACAAGGTTGACAGTTCAAACTTGCCAGCCCTTGCTGTGAATCAGTTCCAACTTGACAGCATTTTACAGCAGATACCTGCTATTGTTGTTAGGTGCTGGCAAGTCAGTTCCAACTTATAGTGACCCTGTATAGGGTTTCCAAGAGGTGGCTGGTAAGCTTCAACCAGCGACCTTGCACTTCAAAAGGCTTTGCAGTCTGGCACATTTTCCCACAGTGCCACACCAGAATTTATAATATATGGGATTATAATTAAAGTATAAGGGCATGGGCTCATCGATATCAGTGTACAAATATGTACTTCATGAGTACTAAGGCACTAACAGTTTCCACTACAAAGACTGTCCCTGCCTTCTACTTTAGAACAGCAGGGTTATGAGCAAAATGAGACTACAATTAGGTGAGAGGCCATCAGAGAATCCATGTTGTTCTTAAGAAATTCAGCAGACTGCAGTGCCTCTACTTACCAAACCACTTGAAGCTTTAATGTCTTAAAAACCTAGTAACTTTACAGCCCCACAATACATGACCATGAAAACTGATCACTTGCTAATGCAAAGTATGTGGTTACCACTGAGAAAAGTTCTGTCTAGTATTTTTATATAAAATTATCTAGGTCTAAGAATTTAAAACTACTAAAACATTCCATCAAAAACATACTGGTTTGATCAGACTAACAAACTTCTGACAAATAAGAAGTCACATGAACACACCAACCAAGGAAAGCATCCACTATCTCCAGAAGTTTCCCCACAGAACAGCTATCTGGAAACGGAAGCAATCCTTTGATCCTTAAACACGATGGATCCCATGAGTGTCTTTTTATGGAAAAAAGACACCAAAACAAACTGTCATCAGCCAAAGCACATTTACTCAACATTCAGTGAGCTGCCAGGAATGAAAAATGGAAAGAAAAACAAATGACAAATAAGACTGAGAGGCCAGCTGACAAAGTTAAAACACAACAGGTTCTGATGGGAGGGGGTACCATACCCCATGGATGTTCTGCTTAACTGCAGACAGGTTCGAATTCTGTAAAGGACTGTCACTCCAGAAGGGAGGGGGAGGGTTGGGGAGTAGAAATAAAATCTCTATTTGGTACTATTTAAGCCAGAAAAAGAAAAATAAACAAACTTGAGGAACTAAAAAACAAGGATAAATATAAAGAAAATCAACAAATAAACCTAAATAGAAAAACTCTTCACTAGTACCATATATAAATCTTTTGGACCATAGCATCATATTAAAAATTAACTTATAAACTTCAATTTCTCTATATATTAGCTCTGGAGTCTTGGTGTGGCACTGTGGGTTAGTGTGCCAGACTGCAAAACCATTTGAACTGTAAGGTTGGCGGTTCAAGCTCACCAGCTGATCGTCGGAAACCCTAACAGGGTCACTAAGGGTCGGAGTCAACTCGACAGCCTTAACAACAGGATATGTGAGCTCTAGATAGTAAAGCAACGGATTGTTACAATCTGTGTTTATGTACAGACAATGGTTGAAAGACAGATAATAGAGAGAGAGACATACACAGATACATTAAGAGGGTAAGTCAAAAAGTACTGCTATTAGGGTTCTAGTTCATACATGCATGGGTTTATCCCAAACAAAACAAGTTTAAACATGTCTCTGTGATCAGTGGATGACTGGACTTCTCTCAGTAACACACTTGTCATACTTGTGTTACAGTACCATTAAAAAAAAAAAAAAAAAAGGTCTAGTCAAAACAGTGGTTTCCAAGGAGATCTTCTTCTGGACCAGTTAAAATTGAAGGCATAGAGGTCAGCTCAGAAAATTATGGTGACTACTTTTTGGAATTACAAAGAAGTAATCTTGACAGATTTTCTTGAAGGACACAAGAAATTGCGGGACTTATTAGAAAGAAGTTTTCAAGAAGAAAAATGCATTGGTTAGAAAAAGGCCAGGAAAGTTGAGATGAGTTATTTTTTCCTTTACAACAATGTACCTGATCATCTTCAAAGGTAGCAGGGCTATTCTATGAGAATTTCTTTGGGACATCTTAGCCCACCCACAGTACAGCCCTGACCTTGCTCTTTCAGACTTCTTGATGCTCAAACCCCAAATTCAAAGCACATTTATAAAAGCAACATGATTTGAGTCCCTTGAGGATGCCAAAAATGCTGTTTTAAAGTGATGTAAATCAAGGTATGCAGAATTCTTCAGGGAAGGGTTAGAGATGCTGTCAGATCTAGATGGAGGACATAGTGAGAAACAAGAGATTTACCTTTGGTAGTTTTGTTTAATAAGGGTTTCGATGAATGATTTTGTAGCCATACCTTTTTATTTACCCTCAGATAGGCAGGCAGACAGAATGAATTTCAAAAGTTCTACTAGCTATTCAGTAATTTTACAATAAATTTTTCCAATCTGGTTTCAAAGGGTGCAAAGACAACAGGTGACTTTTGTTCAAAGCCCAACTGAAAACGTCAATTTGGAGTGAGCATCCTTTAATAATTACATTTATTTGCAGACCACAATAAATATAGGAATTGCAGGCAGTATACGTAACAATAATACTTTCCATAGATACAGAAAGCAAGTGATTATCTTTATACAACGTAACACTTTTATTGAAATCACCACTGGTAAAAGCTACATAGCAGAAGAAAATTACAGGAAAAATTTTAAATTATTTATTCTTGACCCTAAATACTGAGCTTTGCACTCTAGGTACACGGTTACAGATAAAATGGGAAAGCTTGAAATTCAAAAATGGGAGCGAGCAGAGTTCAGCTTCGGGCAGCAGCTGTCTGAGGTTGCTCAGATTGCAGCTGTTTGCCAAGATATTCCCTGAAAAACAAAAGTAAAATAATTAGATCAGTTTGAATTTACATGACAGAATCTGTTCTAAAACTGAAGCATAGTATACATTTCACAGCAGAGAAAACTAATAGCCCTAGAATACGTTTTCATATATCCACAGCACCTGTATCCTATGAATTCATGGACTGTCCGTGCACTCTATTAATTATGCACACATGAATAAGTAGCCACAGACATTATGATAATTTTACCAAGAAGGTCTACCATCCTATTCAGGTCAAAGGTCATGTTTACTGCAGCTGCCACATTTGTAATTCAAGAAGTTAAAAAGATGCTAAGTATAAGTGGACACCTGACAAACAAAAGTCCTGATGGTAATGAATACCAACCACCCTGGGGTAAATGACAAAGGCACAGAAACGTAAATCACTGAAACACCACCAAGAATAATGACACTTGTTGGAGGGAGCTCTCTGCACTGAGTTTTTCCACAGGCATTGCTGGAAGTTTTCATAAAAACTGTCGTATTTAATCCACAAAACAGTCAGAGCCAAGCGATGCTATCCTCATTTTAGAGATGGACTAAATGAGGCCAAGAGCCCACTTTTTAGATAATGAAAAAAACTTGAACATGTACTCACAGTATATGTATATTTTGCACTAATTAACTATATATACTCCTGTTAATCATGGGACAAAAAAAAATCATTTCCCCACTTATAGGAGTTGCCCAAACCTTTGTTTTAGAATTAACTAATATTGACAAGAAAGAATTAAAACAGTGTGAGTTTTGGAACAGAGTTCCTACCCCAAGCTCCATAACTTCTTAGGTGTGTGGCTTAAGAAGTCTGATGCCTCTAGGTTGTGTTGCCTGGTGAGACACCTTCACACGGTAATTGCAAGGTTGATGGAGCTGATGGGCACTGGACAAATTCCTTCATGGCCATTTTCCTTCCTCATGCTCCCCCAACACCACTGTCAACTGATGGCTCCTGTCTGAGCACTCCTTGGAAAAGCCCTTGGGTGCCACCAGTCCTGAACGATGGCTTTGACTCTGCTTGTCTTCAGTTACATGATAAGGAATAGGGACAGCCTAAGTATTTGACCTACCCTGCTCTCCCCTCTGCTATCACAGCCTTATTGGGCCAGGCATTCTGAATAGGAAAGCAGCGGCAGATGGCACAGGGGATGGGGTGTCCACCTGACCCAAGTCCTCCTAGGAGTTTAAGAAGCTGAACCAGGACTGAAAATTCTGGCAAACCAACTAAAGCATCTTACACCATGAAGATGGTTTATGGTCCCTTTTATCCTTATGAGAAAATTCTCCTTAATTTTGGGAGTCATGTTATATGCTTGCTTTTGCTAGGAGTTGTTCTTGTATGATTTAGACAATGGTGATCTTATTTCCAAACAACAGCAAATCGTTTTAATTAATGCAAAGGCCAAAAGGGAAGCTATTCTATAAATTTTGTTAAGACAGAAAGATAAGAGATTATGATCAATGTTAATGCTGTCCTCACGTGAAAAACTGCAACCAGAAAGCATATGTATAGCTGCATCACTCTGTTATTTATTTTGGGGGATGGGCTGGCAGGTAGGGAAGAAGGTTCACATTTACTACAAATTTTCCAGATCTTATATGAGGAGGGTTCAAAAAGTTTGTGAACAAATTTCAGTATCTTTTAACTCCATTTTTCCACAAACTTCTTGAAACCCCCTCATATATAATTATCTATATGCTGCCACATACAACTTCTTACACATGTCCAAGGAATTAAGCCTGAAACTAGATACGCTTAATTTCAATAAGGTCTCTAAACACTCAAATTTTGAATGATAAGACTGTGTAGTATATTTCTTTAGAAACTATGATTAAAGTGCACTCAAAGACACTAATCTACCTTCAATTACATGAAGTTGTGGTTTATTCAACAAAGGTCCAATAACAAGGACCATAAACTCAATGTTAATTTCCAAGACAACTGGCAGAGAATACATCCAAGCCTCCCTGAGCTTGGTGCTAACTACCTTCTGGTTCCAACAGCCCCATCCTGCCCAGAGATGTGAAAAGTGATTCTCATCAGACTTAACCAATATTTACAGGGCAATTGGGAATCTTTGGGGGAAAAGGCACAGAAAGGGAATTGGTTTAGTTACAAAAGAGACACTCTTGGAGTAGGTGCAAAGCAGGAGGATATTAAACAGAATGGTGGTACGGCAATTCCTCTGCATACCCCACTTCCATTTTCTGCACACCCTACTTCCTTCCTCCTTTTTTCCCTACCCAAATATACCTATAGGGCAGGTAAAAAAGAAAAAGAAAAAAAAAAGATAACCTATTCCACCCAAAATATATCTATTCCACCACTCGTCTGTCAGTCTATTGTCCTGTGGTGGCTTACATGTTGCTGTGATTCTGGAAGCTATGCCACCGGTATTTTAAATACCAGCAGAGTCACCCATCATGGACAGGTTTCAGTTGAGCTTCTAGACTAAGACAGACTAGGAAGAAGGAGAGATGGACTACTTGCGAATATTTCGTCACTGAAAGCCTCAAGTATAGCAGTGAAACACTGTCAGCACCAGAATATTGAACACTGAAATATGATGAAAAGGACCAGAATACTGTCAAATACAGTGCCGGAAAACAAGCTCCTCAGTTTGGAAGTCATTCAAACTACAACAGGGGAGGAGCTGCCTCCTCAAACTAGACAAGAATGGAGAAAAGTTATCGGGACCTTCATTTGCTGATGGGGCACACCCCAAAATGAGAAGAAACAGCTGTAAACATCCATTAATAATCAGAACATGGAGAATACAAAGTATGAATCTAAGAAAATGGGAAGTTATTAAAAATGAAATGCAACACATAAACACTGACATCCTAGGCATTAGTGAGCTGAAATGGACTGGTAATGGCCATTTTGAATCTGACAATCACAGGGTTTTCGATACCGGGAATGACAGATTGAAGAGAAATGGTGTCATATTCATCATCATAAAGAACATCTCAAGATCTGTCTTGAAGTACAATGTTTTCAGTGATTGAATAATATCCATACACTTACAAGGAAGAACAATTAGTACCACTATTGTTCAAATTTACACATGATATCCTTCTCCAGTGACTGGTCACTCCTGACAGTATGTCCAAGGTATGAGAGACGAAGTTTGGCCATCTTGGCCTCCAAGAAGCACTCTGGCTGCACTTCCTCCAAAACGGATGTATTGGTTCCTTTGGCAGACCATGGCACTTTCAATATTCTCCTCCAACACCATAACTCAAAGGTATCAATTCTTTTACAGTCTTCCTTATTCACTGTCCAGCTTT